ACATCATCAGGTTTACGATGGTCGTTTAGGCTTGGCTTTCTGTAGTGTGTTCTTGAGGGAGTTTTAACTCCCTCCCAACTGGATTTTAAATATTTTTGCATTACTAGTTTTGCTTCTAAGGTGCTTTCTGCAACCCTACCTGCCCGGAGTCTCTTTCTGGTTCCTTTTACGGTCCACGTGTTATCTAGAAATAAAATTCAGCCTCTGGCATGCTTAAACGCAATTATTGTAACAACTATCATGTCCGTGAGTTGTGGCAATGACACAGTATGGAGATTTTGAGAAGTTTCAGTTCTATCACAAAATAGGACTCTCATGGAGGCCAAGCCCGTGGCGGTGAAACGTAGATACAATGCGACCTGCTCATTTGATAATAAAATCCTTTGCTGTCAGGTTTTTGGTGAACTTGAGGGCTTGGAGAAGTTTTGGGGATTTGTTTTTAAGAAATAACAAATAAACAGAGGGAATGGGGTAGGAATAGTGTTTATTTGCAGCACGGTTATTATTTTGTCGCTTGCACAAAAAACAATTGGGTACTTGCCTGCCCTTAAAGTCAAAACAACCCTTGCCTTTGGTCCAAGGTTAGTTTTGTCTCCAAGTAGATTTTCATGTTAATGTGAAGAGGGTAACTGCCATGTTCAACTTTTATATTATATATACAGTCAGCATATTTGACTAGCGTGTTGTAATTTTTTTTTTTAAAAGTTGGATATTCATTTAATTTTTTTAAAAATAAATTAAAAATATTAAAAAACTTATGAAAATATCTTAATTAAATAAATTGATAATTTGACAATGAATTTTTTTATTAAAATTAATAAAAAATAATAAAAATAGAAATAACTACAAAAACATGCAACGCTAAACATATAATAAATATTATTCAAGAATAAATATTTTTTATAAAATAAAATTTAACTATAAAATAAAAGAAATTATTCAAAAACTAAATACAAATAAAATTATTAAAAAAACTGTAAAAATTATGGCTTAAGTCATAAGAATATAATAAATTAATAAAGAATAAATTAAAAATAATCGCAAAATCTTCAAGGCCGAAAGATAAAACTAGAGAAACAATCACTAAAAAATTATGATTAAAAGAATGAGAGGGAAAATTGAAATAAAAAATAAATCAAAGAGCATAAAAAAAATAAAATGGAGGGTTAGTTTAAAAAAAGTAAAATAAAATTAAAAAAATTAAAAATAAATTAAAAATAATTTGATTGAAAGATGAAATTGAATACTACCAAAACTTTAATAAAAGAGTTAATGAAAAAAAAAATCATAAATCAAAATAATAAGGATTCATGTTCTACATGTAAATGAAAGCAAGAGCAGAGTAAAAAGGAAATAAACAGAGCAACAAGAGGTTATTTGGGAGTGGTGGGAGTGGTGCAGCCTAAGCGTTGTCATTAACGACGGCTATGGTGGCAACCTCTCCTCTATTTTCTCTTCTTCCCCATTTTTTCATCTCTTTTTTTCATTTATCTTCTTTCCCTCTCTGCTTTTTTCTTCTTCTTTTTTTGTTCATCCCTCCTACTTTCCCCTTTTTTTTTCCCTTCTGGTTTCTTCTATTCCTCTCTCTCTCTCTCTCATCCTCCTCTTGTCTCCTTTCTCCCCTATATTTATAGGAAGAAAAGGAGACCTCCACATCTGCCTAGTCAATAATGCAGGGGTGTAGGGCGGCCAGGGCAACCACTATTCAGCCGTCCCTTTACCAACCTAGAGACACTTCTCCTCCCATAACTCTAATAAGATTAAAGCCTTTGTGCATGTGGAGGGGTTTTTGATTGGTGTCTTTTTGGGAAGACAAATACGTGAAAACAGGGGAACAAAACCTTTTTCTTCTCCTGTTTTCTGTGCGTCCAGGGGAAGAAAAAACAATAATGCAGGGGTGTAGGGCGGCCAGGGCAACCACTATTCACCCGTCCCTTTACCAACCTAGAGACACTTCTCCTCCCATAACTCTAACAAGATTAAAGCCTTTGTGCATGTGGAGGGATTTTTGGTTGGTGTCTTTTTGGGTCATTGTGGGAAGACAAATACGTGAAAACAGGGGAACAAAACCTTTTTCTTCTCCTGTTTTCTGTGCGTCCAGGGGAAGAAAAAAGGCTATAATGCCATTCAAAATGACACCATTTTGGACTTTTTTTTAAATAATGTATGAAACAATGCTGTTTTACGGCACAAAACTTATGTCAAAGTCCAAATTAGTCTTGAATTTATAATTTGTTCTATCAAGTTTTAAATTGCAATTTTGATTTAAAAATCAATGCAATTACATCCATGCCAAAAATCAAACAGCAACCTTGAAGTTGATTGCCTTTTCCAAATTGATCTGTGACCTTTGATGTATGCAATTGAACTCTTAATGATTAATAAACCTTTAATTTCTTTAATTTGACCCCTGATTCGGTTTTAATTATAACCCCTCTATTTACGTGTCTTTTTCAATTTGGTTTTTGGTTTTAGATTTCTTCAATTAAGTCCCTAATTGGCCATTAAACTGCAATATTTATACAATTAAGCCCATAATTTGAACAAATTAAGTCTTAAAAATTATAATTTAACCCTAAAATTGTAATATCTTCCAATCAAAGCCCAAATTGACTTTAACAATTAATTTTTCTTGTTTTCAAACCCTCCATTAATTCAATTAAACCTACAATAAAATTTAATTGAGTCTGTAAATATCTGATCTTGGACTTTTTTTTCTCAAATTAAATTTATTTATTAACAGGACTCTCATCAGTTAATAGAATACTGTCAAATTTCAATCCTTGTGTTTTTAAACTTTCTCAATTAATTTTTAGTTATTTTCTGGGTATTTTGACATCTTTTTTTTACTGTTATTTTTTTTTTGGGTTTTTTTAACATATATTTTTTTTATTTTTTTATATTTCCTCCTTTTTTGTGTGGAGACCTAACAACAGGTTACAACATGGATTATGAGTTTAGAGAGTTAAGCCACGAAACTCAGATCAATCTAATATTTCATCGTCTCAATATTGTTTTTAAAAAAAAACAACATCTAGAAATGAGTGGGTCTTTTTTTTTTTAAAAAACAACATCTAGAAATGAGTGGGTCATGTAGTGGAAACTCATATACGAGTTAATTCTAAATCTGGGTTAGGTAAGGAGTCAAACCAAGATGTTTTAAGATTAACTTGCTGGGTCGGTTTTAGTAACAATGCCAAGTAGTTTTTTTTTCTTTTTCTTTTTCTTTCGATTAAATACATTTTGAATTTTTTGATTTATTTCATCCATCATCATTTAGTTTGATTTTGAATTGGACTTGAAAATTTATTGTGGTTTGCTTTCTATAATGTTATTGTAGTCTCAAATAAATATTGATATTTGGTTGGTACTCAATTTGCAAGTATTTTTTTTTGTCATATCATTAAGTAAAAATCAATTTAAAAAACAAAGTTGTTAAACTCATTAGAGTCAATGATTTAGGTTATGAGTTTGGTGGATGTGGATTAAGTCCAAATCGATCTAATTTGTTGTCGCGTCCATATTGAAATAAATTATGTCATCTTAATTTTTTTGATACTGGTTGTTCAAGTTGTTTTGAGAACCACCAAGTCGACTTGGTTGCATCGGTGCAACTTTTATATAACTTAATTTTAAACTTGGATTAGACAAAGAGTCGAGTCGGGAGAATTCAAGGTTAACCTATTTGATCAGTTTTAATAACAATACCAAATAGTTCCTTGCATTCTGAATATTTTCTTTACATCACAATTTTTTTTTATATGACTTGCCATTTTGCGCTAGCAGAAAACTAGTGGAAAACTAAAAGAATAATTTAAAAAAAAAAAATTTGAGAAATTGAAAAATAACTAAATAGCTAAATTTTTTTTTTTGAGAAATTGAAAAATAACTAAATAGCTTTTTATTTATTTAAAAAATTTAAAAATAACTAAATAGATGCTTAACATTTAGTTAATATCCAGAGACATAAAAGATTGAGACAAAGAAGACAAGACATAATAGGACATGAAGATAAAATTATATTTGGTTATGGTATACAAGATATAATTACTATCTCTATATCCCGTTTGTTTGGTAGAGGAAGAGACAAAATAAAATATAAAAAAAATATTTACATTTAATATGTATTATTTCCAAACTTACATATTTAAAATAAACAATTATATATCATTTTTATTTACTTTAATTAATATGCAATGTTGAATTAATAATTGTATAATAACCATAGTTATAAAACCCGGCTTAATAAATTGATCTGGAATCCTAGACCTGAACTGAGTTTTAAAAAATAAAATAAAAGAAGGATTGACCTATTCTAATATGGTTAAAACCTTGAATAAAAAACCTGTTAATTTTTTATTTTTTTAAAACAATGTTGTTTTGAATTATTTTTATATTTAAAAAAATGAGATTAACTTATATTTTTTACCAAGTTGATTTTTTGATCATATCTTAAAATTACAGTAATAAATATTTTTTATATTTATATTATTAGACAAGTTTGAGATTAAAAGCTTTTACATGAATATTTTAAAAATAATAAACAAATCGTGGTCCTCAAGCACTCAACTTGAGAAGCTTTCAAAGTCCTCATTCAAATGTAATCTAGTTTTTCAAAAATAAAAATGATGTTGCTCACGTGGTATATTGTTTGGTTGGTTGGAGATCTGGCTAACCCCCGTGAAAAGTCTCCACGCTCTATCTCTTACCGACTCAGTTTTCTTTACTCTTCATAAGAAACATGGAAGCTTTTCTTTTTCCAATAAGAAAATGGTGAAGCAATCACGTGACCTTCTTGCCCACATCGGGAAATAAAAATAAAAATAAAAGAAAGAAAAAACTGTAGATGCCATTTATATTCAAAGCGCAATAAATTTCCTCATGAATTCTAAAAAAATAAAATAAAAAAATCCCAATTTATAAATCTAGAATTCAAAATACCAAATTACCAGACTACCCATACTCAGCTTAATTACCAACACCTAACATTCCAGCATGTTTTTTTTTTATTAAAAAAAAACAAAAAAAATTCGAATTTCCTCTATTTACGATCTCTCCGCCAATACTCTAACCCCCCCCTGTGTCTGTCTACAGTTCCTTTCTCTACCATCATCTCCTCCTCGTGAATTCTTTCACATTATTCTCTCCGAAATGTCTTGACACACTAAAGTAACTGCCTTTTTATTAATTAATCTCTCCGTTTACAAAGAATGGCAACCTCGGCGTTTAAATCCACGACAAAGAGGACACCTCTCGGCAACGACAAGTCGTCTTCCTCTGCTCACCGGCGTTCACGGAGTCTGAGCCGCTTCTCCCGACCGATTCCTCCCGACGACTTTTCCGATGATTCTACGGCACCGTCGAGAGGGAGGTTCGTGAACATGGATAGAGGATCGGGAGTTCCGGATATAAGTCTCGACGATCTCGCTATTCAGTTGTTGAGTTTAGGTGATCGAGGGCGGTCGGGTTTTAGAAGTGGTGACGTCAGTTATGGGGAGAGAGTTGCGGGTGGGTCCCTGAGGAGAGGAAGGTCTGTGTCGAGGCAAGGCGGTGAAAGTAAAAATGACAGCAAGAGTTACAGTCGTGGTGGTGGTGGCGGGAAGGTGAATTCGGATGGTAGTAATTCGAGGAGGAGACGGTCTGTTTCTGTGGTTAGGTATGAAATTGGTGATTCCGAGGTAAACAAATTATTGCTCATTCTCAATAGTAATTTCCATTTTTTTTTGGAAACTTATTGATGATTTTGTTAAAAAAAAGAAAGTTAGCTTTTTGAATGTGGGGATGGATGTGTGATTTACCTTTTTTGTCTAATTATTATGTTAAGAAAGTAGTGAATGGTTAAGTGTGGGTATGGAGTGAGTAAATAGCAATCATGGACGCTTTTCATTTTGTGTACTTTCTCACTTACAAAATTATTGCAATGGAGCCCATGATGAGAGAGCTACTATTTTGGAATTTAAATGTTATTTTTATGGATGAGTTTGGATATTTCAGCTATAAAGTTAATTTGAGAGGCTTGAAACATGCCAAGCTGCATGCTTTCAAATTGTTTTTGTTGCTGTAAGTGACTACATGAGTATTTGGATTTCAATGCGAAGGCTTCTATATAATGGTAATTTGTTGAACCTGGTTGTCTTGAGAAACCAATTAAGAGTCGAATTAAATTTTGTTTATGGTTGTGCTTTTATTGTGTAAGGTTTTTTTACTTTTTTTTGTTTCAATTTGGTATATGGTTCGGGTGGCAGATATTTTTTGAGGTTGCTCTGATTCTGAATATGGTACACTTTTGTGCCTTTCTTAATAGATGGTTACAAACTTTTTTGATAACTAAAGCTGCTTAAAAAGTTAGTGCTAAGATGTGTTTGCATTTACATAATGCACAAAATTGGAGAGTCATATGGCCAAAGCATGTGAAAATGTAATATTTCTGAGATTGATGTGCAAATTAGTGAGTATATATGTGCGTGCGTGCGCCCACTTGTGACCTTGTCTTGTATATTTATTCATGTTATATCCTGGCCTGTATTATTCATGTCAGCTTGAGTACTTGAAATTGTTTAGGCACATTTTAGTCAATGACGTTCTTTTTTAATTTTTGTATGTTGTTTTTCTTCGCAATATCAGAGTGACCCAGAGCATTCTCAGAATTCAAGAAATCATGCTAATTCAAGACGTCAGAGCAACGGAAACAGCCAGGTCACTTTATCAAATAAGCCATTAGCATCGAATCATAGACCTGGACTGAGAAGGTCTCTTAGCCAGAAAGATTTGAAGTATCATGACGGCTACTCTGTAAGAGTTGTATCTATTCAAGCTATGTTAATTACATCTTCTGTATGTTGTTGAATCTTGTGTTGTATCTGATAGGCTGGCAATCAAGTCTAGTCTATTGGCTGGCTTGTCACACACGCATGCACATATACATATGTGTTGTTATTTTAATATTCATTCAGATCCTTTTCATATTTTGTTGTTTCAAGACTGAATAAAATTTGGTCCTTTCAGAGTCATTCATCAAGCCTAACTGATGATGAAGGGAGGGATTCTTGTTCCAATAAAAATGGATATGAGAGAACAATACGAACAGTTTATGCACAGAAGAAGGTTGGATATGATTTTTGGAAAAAATTATGCAACGGGTGCTGTTTCCTTTGTCTGTGCGTGTTTTTGTGTATGTGTAAATGTCCTCCTCTTCAGATCAGTCACTTATTGGCCAACCTTTTCACCCTTTAGGCAGAGCATCCCACTGGTGATGATATGAACAGCGGGCTGTATGAAGCAATGAGGAAAGAACTTAGGCATGCAGTAGAAGAGATCAGGATGGAACTTGAACAAGTCTGTAATTCTGTTTCTCATGAACTTGATTTGATTATCTGTATTATATATTGCCTGTGCATCCTTGATTTGGTTTGCTGATAACAGTGTTCCTTGAAATTGACGCAGTCTATGGAGAAAACAAATATAGATTCGAAATCTGGAAAATCTGATGGTTTTCAGGGTGGTTCTACTATCAGAAGGAACCATGCAACAAAATCAGATCAGGTAAGAAAAGTTTACTTATGATCTTTCTGTTGTGCCAGTTTTTCTTGTTGCACATAATATTCTTAAATTGATTACTAGTATGCAAAAGAGAGTATCTTCTCACCTGTCCTCTTTTATTTGGTTTTCTTGGAACTGATTATCGATAGAGGAATATTTGATTCTGATAAATACTGGCAGCTTTTACTTATGGATCTTTCATATTCATGTGTAATTGTTGATCTAGGAGGGAGCTTGTCACATGTTCTTTTATGTTGTGTAAAAATCATATTTTGTAGATTTCTTATTCTACACTGGTTTTGTGAGAGTATTGAGAGATTGATAGCTCTGAATATAAGCAGACATTGCAACTTGCAAGTTTTTTATCACAATGGTTTAATTAGGGATTTTACAGTTTATTGACACTGGTGGGATTATGACATGCTGCAATCTTAATGACCGTAAAACTGAAAACATGATTACTTCCCTTCTTGACACATTAGAAAGACTAGTTAGAGAACTAGTTAAGTTGCTTTTTCTACTGGAATTTCAAGATGACTTGTTCATATATGGATGTTGTATTAACAGTCTGAGAAGTGTAAACAAGATTTATTAGTAAAACTATTGTTGGAGAAGCAACATGGTAGAGATATCTCGAAGATTGTGAAAGAATTGCTTGCTGATCCGAAGAACACTGTTTCAGAAAAGCCATCAAGAGCCAGAAAGGTACTTAGTCCTCTCTTCTATGCTCTTTCACTGTTTGAGACTTGCATATTGTCTGTTCTTGTGTCAATTTGTTTATTAAGGTTTCCAATTTGTGGTGTTCAGGGGAGTAATGACAGAAGTAGGATGTCTGAACGATTGACAGAAGAAGCAGAGAAATACTTTGAGGACTTCATTTCAAATGTTGAAGATACAGATATTTCATCTTTGGATGGGGAAAGGAGTGATACAAGTTCAACTTTAGGGGGGCTAGCAAAGACAGAAACTTTAAAGAGACCGGTGATATCCAAATCTCAACCTGTAGAAATGGACGGTGTTGTGCTGCCCTGGTTACAATGGGAAACTTCTAATGATTCTTCTCCTCTATTCTTAAAAGATAAGGAGCTAGCATCGACTCCAAAAAGTAATTTATGGGATGCAGCTCAGGTAATCTATGTCCCATTTTCTCTTTCAAGCAGATCTAGGACCTTGGAAGAAATAGCAAATTTACAGACAATGCTTGTTTCTTGTGCTTGTTTTATGCATTATATAAAGCTATCATGACTTGTTTTATTACTCTTCCTGTGTGGGTAAATAAACTGCATGTCAATTCCCATTATAGGAAGCAACCCCTGCTCAAGAGTTGATCATGCACCCCATCAGTAGCCGTGCAAGCTGTAGCCCAGGACTTACAGATGGCCACTCAACAAATATTAGAGAACTTAAAGGGAGTAAATTTGGAGAACTTGAAAGCTACAGAAGACGAATTTCATTTAGAGGAACAAGGTCACAGTTTGACGTTGATGAATATCTTAAGCGACCAAGTGATGAAGATTTTCTTTTAGAAAGTTGGAAGCAACAACAGAGAATTCATTCAGGTGGTCTCCTGCTTTGCAACCGAATGTTTTTCTAGCTGTAATCCACAAATCTTCATGAGGTAGCTGTTGGCCTTCATCTTTTCCTCAGAAATCCTTCTCACAATGTCCTCTGCTTCTAGGTTCATACTTAATAGAAGCACTTGCCTTTTTATACAGTTAGTCGTAGGCCCTTGTTTTCTTTAGGGATCATAGCAGATGTCTATGAAGATTTACCAGCTTACAGTTCAACCCTTGTGAAAGACAGAGGACTTGTTATTTAAAAAAGATAGCAGTAATTTCGTGCAGGATTTCTCAGCTTACATGTGTGTTATTATTTCATTCTATGTACCATTTCTGTGAGAAAGAAATACTACTATCTCATAACCCCTCGAGTGTTGAATTATTATAAAAAATCTTATGTTCTAGCAATTAGCTTACAAGGGCTCACACCCCCTGACTGGAATCCTTGATTCTTTTCCATTTGAAATTTCAAGTCAACTTTTCGTTATTGGTTCATATATCGATTAGTAATCTCTGTGTAATTTCCTAAACAGTACATAAAAACTAAAAACTTGTGTCCTGTTTTCTAGATTCTATGTCAGCAGTAATTTTTTAAAATGTTTTTTAATTAAAAAATATATTAAAAATATATTTTTTATATTTTAATATTTATTTCTGACATTCTTATATCAAAATTCGTAAAAACAAATTTCAAAAATTTTCTACACAAACAAAAACACTTTTCTCGGTTACTGGGAGTTGTTTTTATATATATATATATATATATATATATATATATTAAACTCAAGAACCCTAGCCTAGCTCGTTGAAAAACCAGACCGAGAGCCGATGAGTCTAAAGTCCATACCCCGACCCGTCATTTAAAAGAAACCAACAGATAAATGCAGAGCCAAGACTGATTGGGCGGGCTTATGTTTTCTTTGTTGATCGCAAAACAATTATTTTTTTATTTATTATTATTTATCCATCAGAACTTACTACAAAACTTAATTCGGTTAAAATGTATTTGAATATTTATTTTACAGGGTTATTTTAATCCAATGTTTATCTTTTTAGGATAAAATAATATTTTCTTAGATATGTATCACTCCATTTTTTTGAAAAACCTAAACTTTTGTTAAAGTAGATAGTTTAGATAGACATTGAAAATTTGAGATTAACTGCTCTTTCTCATGCCAAACAAGTTTTTATTTCAATTTCAATTTCTTGCTGTATTTTATTGTAATTGTTTCAAGAACTGAAATGTTCATGAAAATCCAAGAATGTTTTGTTTAGGGTTGTAATTAAAGATTAGTTTGTTTGATGATTTGAGTAAAACTTGTAGCAGAGTTTGAAATCCCTGTTTGAATTGCGAGGGAAATTACAAGAACAACTATAGTGCAAGTTGGAAGAGTGGGTATTAATCCTCGACATTTGGTGGATCAGTCCATTTCTTTGATTATGAGTAAATGTGATTACTAAGCATATTCTGGATATGTAAATGGAATTAACAGACAATTAATAGTAAAGTCATATGAAATATAATCTAAATTATAATTTGAGTATTACTAGATTTTTGGCAAGAGAATCAGACTTTAAAATATTGGGATGTTTCCAATATATATCAAACTTTGTTAGAAACTCCGGTTTAGGAAGATTTTATCCACTTAGAAAAGAAAATAAATAACCCTATAATATCATAAATATATGTATATACATAGATAATTAAATATAGATAATTGAACTGGTATTGAACATCATTTATAATTTAAATCTCGTTCGTAGATAACTTAGTTAAAGCAAATTTCAGTTTTAAAAGGAAACAAACTCTTATTTTTAGATATATGTATACACTTCACATTATAGTATTTAACTAGCTGCTATCCATTCCTATAATCAACTTTTGAATAGTTATAATCTCGTAAATAGTTTATTGTTGTTCAGATTAATTTTAATTTGACTGAACAACAATAATGGATTAAATGCAGTAAAAGAAGGATATGTCAAGCACTAACAACACATAATTTTAATTGATAAAATTAAAAAATAATAATAAAAAATATATATTTAAAGGATGAAAATAATAAAAAAACACAAAATATAATTCAAGTAAATAGTATTTTATGAGTGTTTTTACAATAATTTAGCCTCACCTTTTATTATTTTTTTAATAATTTCTAAGCTGATAAATTGTAGAAGAGTCATTTATGCTTGTATATGTAATTAAAGTACTCGTGGGAAATTTTATTTAACCATAAAAGTAAGTGCCTTTATATTTATAATGTGAAGTACAATTTATTTGTATATTTCATTAATAACATTTCTATTACTTCTAGTTAATTTTTCTACTGTTAAGCGTTTTAGAATAATTAATTCAATGTCATCTTGATTTAGGAGACATTGAAGAAACCTTTGGATGGCTAAATTCTCTATTAAGAGTCATAAATTAAGAAGCAAGTCCTCTTCATGAAAATTGTATTATCAAATAGTAGCAATTAACTTATCTTCTGTATGCCGATTATTATACAATATACTAAATGAAAATGGTAAATCAGTATAGAAATGGTAATTTTGTAATTTTTTATCAATTTTTTTTACTGTAGCAAAAGCAAAATTACAATATTTGATTTTTTTTTTATTCTAGCATTATTGTGACAATGATAAAATTATAATTTTCTTATTTTTTTTTACTAGCTACAATGTTACTCCAACAATGAAAATTTTTTAATTTTAATTTTTTTTTGGAAAACCAATATGCCCACTTGTCCAAGTTGTTCCAAAGTCATCTCTCCTGTAAAAAAAAAGAAAAAGATTATGAATGTTTTTAAGTATCAAACTTCATTAGAAACTCCTATTTAGGGAAATTTTATTGGCTTAGAAAAGAACGGAAATAACCCTATAATATCATTTCACAATGAGTGTATATATGTATATAAACAAATAATTGAAGTGCTACTGAATATTATTTATAATTTAAATCTCGTTAGTGGATGACTCAGTCAAATAAATTTTAGTTTTAAAAGGAAACACACTCTTGTTTTTGGCTGCATATATACACTTCACTTTATAATATCTTAATGTTTTACGGTAGCAGTCATAAAATTATAGATTTTTTATTTTTTCATATTATAACATTACTCTAACAATGAAAAAATGTTTTTTTATGGAAAACAATAAGCTCACCTGGACAAGTTGGTTCAAAGTCATCTCTACCATAAAAAAAAGAAAGATGAAAAATAATTCTAAATATCAAACTTTGTTAGAACCTCTCGCTTAGAGAGATTTTATCGGCTGAGAAAAGAAAAGAAATGATCCTATAATATCATATCACAATGGATATATAGATATATATAGACAAATAATTAAACTGTTTTTGAACATCATCTATAATTTAAATCTTATTAGTGGATAACTTAATCAAAGTAAATTTCAGTTTCAAAAAGAAACAAATTTTTCTTTATATAGGCATATTCACATTATTCTTAGTAAGAAACAATTACTTTAAGATATATAAAACAATTGTGTGCTTCAAATGAGAAAGTGGAGTTTAAATATTATTTTTATTAATTTTTTATTTTTATGATAATAATTTTTTAATTTTAAAATTTTAATACCATTAATAGCTGTTTATCAGTTTATCGATTCATATATTTTTATTTTTATTGCTTAAATAACTTTTTTACATTTCTTAATTAAGAGAATTATGCCATTTATTTTGTTAATCCATGCATAATAATTTTTCAAAGAAAAAAGTATAACAAAAAAATTATAAAAGAATAAAGATAATAACAAAAAAATAGTATAAATAGATAAAGTATAAAAAATAAAAAAATATTTTTTAAAAAAATATGTTAAGAAAAAAATAAAAAAAATACATTAAAAAAATAAAGAAAAGAAAAAAAATGAACCAAGTATAATACATGCGCGCATATATATATATATATATATAAACAGAAAATAAATCTAAAAAAAATTGTTTTCTACAAAAAAAAAAAGAAAGAAAGAAGAGGAAATATACAATTGTGCCACCGCTACAGTACACCACTTGCTCCAATAGCTAAAATTCTGGACATAATTATAAAATCACCATTTTCCTTTTTGTTTATTGTATAATTAACTTATCTTTTATATGCCAACGTACAAACTACAAAGACATAAGACTTAGTACCAATATGCCCAATGTTTCCAAGATAAACTTTATTAGAAACTCACAGAGATTTTATGGGCTTAGGAAAAAAAATCCATTAATATTATGTTTATAGATAATAAATTTAGTCAAAATAAATTTAAATTTGAGTTCAAAAGGAACAAACTCTTATTTTTAGATTCATAAATACATTTCACAGTATAATATCTAGTTAGCTGCTATCTAAATTTATAATTATCTATTAAATAGTTATAACTTTATTTTATTTAATAATTTAAATTATTAGGTTGAGATATTTATTTGATATGGTATTAAAATCTTAATGATCAAGCAGTTATGCGTTTGAATCTCATTATTTCTACTTATTTGATAAAAATTAAGCACAAGATAATATGAGTTTATATAAATTTCAAACTCAAAGAATTTTTACTTAAAAGGATGTGTTAGAAAATAATATAAATTATATTCTAAAACTTTATTTAATAACTTAAAATATTAATTTGAAATAATTCTTATGCGTATTCTGACAATAATTTAGCCTTGCCTTTTATTATTTTGGTTATAAATAATTCACTTGTATATATAATTAAAATAACATGAGAAATTTTTTTTTTTTAGATTAACATGGGTGCGCTTGTATATATAATTAAAATAGCATGAGAAATTTTATTTTAATCATGAAAGTAAGTGCCTTTATGTTTGTGATGTGAAGTACAATTTATTTGTATATTTTATTAATAACATTTCTATTACTTCAGTCAATTTTTCTACTCTTAAGCGTTTTAGAATAATTAATTCAAAGTCATCTTGATTCAGGGAGACATGGAAGAAACCTGTGGGGTTTGGACAACTAAATTCTATATTAAGAGTTATAAATTTAGAAGTAAGTCCTCTTAAGTAGGTGCCTTTATGTTTGTGAAAGTAACTGCCTTTATGTTTGTAACGTGAAGTACAATTTATTTGTATATTTTATTAATAACATTTCTATTACTTCAGTCAATTTTTCTACTCTTAAGCGTTTTAGAATAATTAATTCAAAGTCATCTTGATTCAGGGAGACATGGAAGAAACCTGTGGGGTTTGGACAACTAAATTCTATATTAAGAGTTATAAATTTAGAAGTAAGTCCTCTTAGAGCCCGTTTGATTACGTGTTAGTATTTCTTTAAAAACACATTAAATAGCTATTTGGTTACAAATGGTTAAACAATTAAAACACATGGATCCTGTCATTTATATGTAACGAACCATAATTTTTAAAAGTAGTAAAATACTATTTTTTTATGAGAATTTCAACCTATGATAGGCACATTGTTCAATGAATTATACTGTTCACGTGCATAGTTTTTTTTTCAATGTGTTAATTTTTTTAACAATTTTTTTTTTTAAAAACTAGTTTAGAGTAAATTAAATTCACTTACATTATGATGTAAATAATATTTTTTTTCTCGAAAAAATAGTACACATGGGTCCTGTCATTTATATATGATGAACTATAATTTTAGTAAAATATTATTTTTTTACGAGAATTTCAACCTACGATAGACACACTGTTCAATAAATTACACTGTTCATGTGCATAGTTTGTTTTTTCAATGTGTTAATTTTTTTAACAATTTTTTTAAAAAAACTAGTTTAGAGTAAATTAAATTCACTTACATTATAATGTAAACAATATTTTTTTTCTCGAAAAAATAGTATAAAGTAAATTAAATTTACTCGCACTGTAATATCAATTTTATACCTGATAATATTTTATCTGATTTTATTACACGCTCAAAAAATTATAAAAACTGTAGTTTTTATCGGCTGAATTTTGTATGCAATGAAATTATAATTAGTTTAATGAAATAATAAAAAATATTTTATATCAAGTATTATTTATTTCATGATGTAATAGGAGTAGTTAATTCTATAATATTTAAAATTAAAATCATCAATATTACTATATATATTTTAAAATTATTTTATAACCTCAATTTCAAAAATATTCTTAACCAAACACATTAAATTACTTTTTCTTCAACATCAATTTCAACCATAGTTTTAACCAAACACCTATTTTTTCAAATCAACCTCAACTAAAAGTACTTTTTATAAAATAATTTTTTTCAAATCACAACCACAACAGTTACGGCAATACTAAACACATTCTTAATGAAAATTGTATTATCAAATAGTAGCAATTAACTTATCTTATGTATGCCAATTATTATATAATACACTAAATGAAAATGGTAAATCAATATAGAAATGGTAATTTTGTATTTTTTTCTCAATTTTTTTTACTGTAGCAGTAGCAAAATTACATTATTTGATATTTGTTTTTGGTTTTTTTTTTATTGTAGCAGGGTAAAATTATAATTTTTCTGATTTTTTTTACTACAACATTACTCTAACATGAAAAATTTGTAATTTTAATTTTTTTTTTGTGAAAAAACAATATGCCTACCAACTCAAGTTGGTCCAAATTAGTCATCTCTATCATATAATAAAAAAAAAACAAATTAGGAATGTTTTCAAATATCAAACTTTATTAGAAACTTCTTCTTAGAGAGATTTTATCGACTTCAAAAAAAAAAAAACCTATAATACACACACACATACACAGATAATTGAAGTGCTACTAAACATCATTTATAATTTAAATCTTATTAACAAATTTCATGAGGGAGATAAAGCACGTATTCAATTCTTATGGAATATCTGTCAATACACGGCATTTGTCTCTTATTGCTGATTATATAACCCATACCGGTGAGTTCCACCCGATAAACTGTATTGAGGGCATATCCGAGTCAATACCACCTTTAAGTAAATTAATGTCTTTTGAGACAGCGTCCAAATTCATAGTTGAAGCCACATTGCACAGGGAGGTCGATAATTTGGAAGCTCCATCTGCTAGGGTTTGTCTTGGATTGCCAGTGAAAATGGGTACTGGATCTTTTGATTTGATGCAGAATCTGGAAATTTGATCCCTTGTAATTTTTATTTTCTTGTTAAATTGTATTGAAGGGGGGCTCTGAGGTGCTTCCTGGTTACGTATTCTGATGAACGTTTCTAGTCTATCACGTGCCTTCTTTTTTCTTTTTCTCGAAAATTCCTTTTATTGTTTTTTTTTTTTTTAACTCATCTTCTTTCTTGTAATATAGGGGTAAGCAACTCTTACTTTTGTTTAGATAAGAGAGGTTAAGAGATGCTTTTTTTTCGATGACAGGAGAGATTGTATCAATTATTATTGTTTTGAATTTATATTTGATAAAAAATGATCAAATATAAATAGAAAATAAATTTCAAAAAAACTTGTTTTTTACAGTGAAAAAAGAAAGAGAAAATATACAATTGTACCACCATTACAGTACACCACTTGCTACAATAGCCAAAATTCTAAACATAATTATAAAATTACCGTTTTGCTTTTAGTTTATTGTATAATTAGTTTATCTTTTGTATGTGAACGTCTTAGTCCCATACCATATAAATAAATTAAAAAAAAAGAGAGAGTAGGAATGTTTCCAAGATGTCAAACTTTGTTAGAAACTCCCAGGGAGATTTTATTGGCTCAGAAGAAAAATAATCCTATAATATCGTATGACAATATATATATATATATATATATATATATATTTATTAAATATTATCTATAATTTAAATCTTATTAGTGGATAACTTAGTTAAAACAAATTTGAGTTTCAAAAGAAAACAAATTCTTATTTTTAGGTGCATATTTACACTTCACAGTATGATATCTAAGTGAGCTGCTATTTAAATTTATAATCGAACCCTTACAATCTTTTAGATAGTTTATTGTTCTTCGTATTAACTTTAATTTTATAGAATAACAAAAATGAATCAAATACATCATATATATATATATATATATATAAAATTACTATTGAATATTATCTATAATTTAAATCTTGTTAGTGAATAACTTAGTCAAAACAAATTTGAGTTTCAAAAGGAAACAAATTCTTATTTTTAGGTATATATATACATTTCATAGTATAATATCTAGTTAGTTGCTATCTAAATCTATAATCGAATCCTCACAATCTTCTAGATAGTTCATTGTTCTTTGCTCAAAAATGGATCAAATACAGCAAGTGAAGAATATGTCAAGCACTGAAGACGCTAAGAAAGACCCGAATGACTGGCTTCCCATCACCAAGTCTAGGAATGCGAAGTGGTGGTATTCTGCCTTTCACAATGTTACAGCCATGGTTGGTGCTGGGGTCCTGGGCCTCCCTTATGCCATGTCTCAACTTGGATGGTAAGTAAGCATTCAGTAGCCAAAACAATGGCTAAAGGATCATTATTTTATGAAGTCAAATTGTCTAGGTCTAGAGGCTGGGATTTATAACCAGCCATGGCAACAGTAGTGTTGTTAATTACTTGATGTGATCTCAATGGCTAAATCATGTTTTTGATTTTGTTTTAGGGGTCCCGGTGCTGCTGTATTGATCCTGTCATGGGTTATCACTCTATATACACTGTGGCAGATGGTGGAGATGCATGAAATGGTGCCTGGAAAGAGATTTGATAGGTATCATGAGTTAGGGCAGCATGCATTTGGTGACAAACTCGGGCTTTGGGTGGTGGTTCCCCAGCAACTAATGGTGGAAGTGGGTTCGAGTATAGTGTATATGATTACTGGAGGGAAATCTCTGAAGAAGGCTCATGATACTATCTGGCCTAACTACAAAGAAATCAAACTTACCTATTTCATTATGATCTTTTCCTCGGTTCACTTTGTCATCTCTCATCTCCCCAGTTTCAACTCCATCACCGCTGTCTCTCTAGCCGCTGCCGTCATGTCCTTGAGGTAAGATAGATCTGCTGTCATTTCTATATGCTGTCACTAGCATTTCCAAGCTAATTTTGTGTCCGAACTCCTTGAATGCTGTTCCAAGATCAATCATGTGTTACGTGCAGTTACTCGACTATTGCGTGGGTGGTTTCATGGCATAAAGGGGTTCAACCAGATGTGCAGTATACCTCAAGGGCTTCAACAAATACTGGGCAGATGTTCGACAGCTTCAGTGCTCTAGGAGATATAGCTTTTGCCTTCGCAGGGCACAGTGTGGCGTTGGAGATCCAGGCAACAATCCCTTCCACACCAGGGAAGCCTTCCAAGAAACCAATGTGGAAAGGAGTGGTTGTTGCTTATCTTGTCGTCGCTTTGTGTTACTTACCTGTTAGCTTCGTAGGTTACTGGGTGTTTGGAAACAAAGTTGAGGACAACATACTCTTATCACTAGAGAAGCCTCGTTGGCTTGTTGCCGTTGCTAATTTGTTTGTTGTCGTTCATGTCATTGGAAGCTATCAGGTATGCTTAAACAATCTTCCTCCTTTTCCTTTTCTTTTTTCGAGATAAATCAGCGAGGCTGCATGTTATAAATTCATTCCAAAGATAGATTATTATTCTTAAATTTTCATTGATCTTAAGCTTAGCTACATTAATAATGTACCAATGTTTTGCGTGATATAGGTTTTTGCAATGCCAGTGTTTGATATGATGGAAGCATTCCTAGTCTTGAAAATGAAATTCCAACCGGGTCAGCCGCTTCGCTTCATAACACGAATTCTATATGTTGGTGAGGAGAAATCTTCATAAAAACTTCCATTGATTGCTGATTTTTGTGTAGTAAAAGGAGAGTTCTTTTAAGAAAGGGAGATGATTATGATTTTGGTTTAATTAACTTAATTTCGTGTTGTTTTGATGCAGGATTGACCATGTTCATCGCAATGACATTCCCATTTTTTGGTGGGCTTCTAAGTTTCTTTGGAGGATTTGCCTTTGCTCCCACCTCATATTATGTAAGGCACCACGTTATACATATCTATGCTTATCTTTCTTGCTTCAATAAACAATATGCAAAGCTCAAAATGCCGCAATTGTTTGCAATCTCTTTGCAGCTCCCCTGCGTCATGTGGCTTGCTGTATATAAACCAAAGAAATTCAGCTTGTCATGGCTCGCAAATTGGGTATGTTCCTGTTAATTTCCAGCCTTTTTTTTCTAATTAGCAATATAGCTGTCGTCCTAATTTCTTCTCGTTATCTACAGATATGCATTATCCTTGGCGTTGTGCTGATGATATTAGCCCCCATTGGAGCATTAAGGCAGATAATACTACAAGCCAGGGACTTCCAGTTTTACTCTTGACTTCACTGCTTACAAAAGGGATGTTGAAGTGCAGCTGCATATATATATGCTCGTGGCCATGAACATTTCTTTTTTATTTATTTCCGTTCCAGTAGAATAATGGGACTTCTAACTCTGCTTCTTTATTAGGTAATTTTCTGTATATATTCGTCTAGGAGTACTAAAATGGGAGATGGATATGTAAAGGCTGCATGATCTATTAACATTCATGCTCTGCCTATGCGAATCTCCTTAATTTTCAGTCTTTGTATTCAAGAATTCTCGCAGTCCTTGTTAGCTTCAAACTTTCTTTGTAGTTTTGAATCAATTTCGTGCCACTTTTAAAGATTTGGACTTGGTTTCTACAATGGGATGGTACATCAAGACACTCAGTGAGTATTTATTTTTTGAGAATTATAGTAATTATTATTTTTTAAAGTATTTTTTATTTAAAATATATTAAAATAATATGTTTTTTATTTTTTAAAATTTATTTTTAACATTATTCAATCAAAACATATAAAAATGCAAAAAAAAAAACTAATTTAAAGAACTATTTTTATATTTTTTTAAAATATTTTTAAAATATATAAACAAACACGTTCTTTGTATTACAACCTGATTTTCAATTATATTTTATTAAAAAATATTTAATTAATATTTAATAGTATATCTACGTTCTTTATTCATGATTATAGCTATGTTTGAAAATATCCTAGGAGTGGGTCATGATATAGATAGAGAGAGGATCTTTTCAAATAAAAGGATAGTTTGATGTGGATAAAAAAAATTAAAAATATAATTTTACAGCAAAAATAAACAGCAACAACAAAAAGGGCAGAAATCAAATCCAATTTCGTAAAAATAAAATAACAAAAACTCTCACTACAATTTTAAAAAGTGAAAACTAAAAGCTTTATCCACTACTCACTCTCCATTTTGCACGCAAAAATGCAAATCCTCCGAACTCCTTACCCTCTCTTCTCTTTACCCAAACCCCTAAACCCTTCCCTTAAACCCCACCATAAAAACCACCACCAGTTCCTCCTCCTCCCTCGGCACCCTCTCTCCACCACTCTAACACCTCCAAAATCTTACAGCTCAGATGAATTCCCAGTAGACGAAACATTCCTTGAAAAGTTCGCACCAAAAGACCAGGAAACCGAAGACGAAGCTCGAAGAAAGAACTGGATTGTCCGTGGCTGGGCACCATGGGAAGAAATCCTGACCCCAGAAGCCGATTTCGCGAAAAAGTCACTAAACGAAGGCGAAGAGGTCCCTCTTAAAACCCCAGAAGCAATTGAAGCATTCAACATGTTATCTCCAAGTTACCGTTCTCAGAAAATTAAAGAAATGGGGCTTACTGAAGATGAGTGGTATATGAAGCAATTTGAGATAAAAGGGGAGATACCGGATAAGCTGGAGACAGAATGGGCTGGTCCATTGGTTGTTAGACAGGTGGCACCGAGGGACTGGCCGCCAAGAGGGTGGGAAGTGGATCGGAAGGAATTGGAGTTCATTAGGGAAGGGCATAAATTGCAAGGAGTTAGAGTGAATTTGGAGGATTTGGAAAATGGGGTCGGTGTTGATAAGGAGAATATGTGTTTGGAGAGGTATAAGGTGTTCTTGAAGCAATATGAAGAGTGGGTTGAGGCGAATAAGGATAGACTAGAAGAGGAGTCGTATAAGGTAGTGTTTCAAATGATGGAAGGGAGTGAATTTCTCATCTGGGCTTTTTTTGTAGACGAGCAGAGAAGGTTTTTAAAATACACTAATGTGTGATTTTTTATTTTTTTATGTTGGCGATACAGGAAGACCAAGACTATTATCCGGGTCGAAGAAAAAGAGGGAAAGACTATAAAGAGGGCATGGTGGGACAGTGCTGCAATATCTTTCCTTGTTTATACCGTCGAGTTTCAAATTTTAGTTGTTGAAAGATAGTTATAATGGTTTTTTTTTTTCCTTGCAGTATGAGCTTCCATTTTATTACCCGGGGCAGGTGAGTCCCTGAGCTTGTTCTGTTCCTTGCTGATTTATTTTTTCTCTGGAGTGCGTAATGTAGCTCATGTATAGAGCCATAATAAAGTTTCAATTGCTTGCTAAAATCTGATGTCTAGGACAGGAAATGTGAACTTATTTTGGATGATACATCAAAGACATGCCTATACTCGTGTTAGCCTATTGAGAATTCTATACAGGATCATGGCATGTAGATATATCTTCTTTGAGCTGCTAACAGGGACTTGCGTTGTTCTCTCTATAAATTGATGATAATGTGCAGTTTGTGAAATGTCATTGCAGATCTGTGAAGGAAAAGTTACCACTATACATCTACATCAAGGAGCCTTTGTTGACGTTGGAGGTGTGCATGATGGGTAAGTATCGTCACCTTATACTTCCTAATATGGCTAGCGGGAAGCTAGATTTTGTCATCTCCAAAGTGCTTGCTTCCCATCCATTTGCTTGAATGTCTGATTGGAGGTTCCTCATTCCAATCCACGTTCATGTCTATGAATTTCAGATGGATCCCAATTAAACGCAATGATTGGTTTTGGATTCGCCATCATATAAAAGTCGGTATGCATGTCATTGTTGAAATTCTGGTGAGCAGTGTTCTTGACTTGCACAAATATTGGTATATATGTGAATGTTTCAAACCTGTGGATCTTGCATGTTGAGTGGCCTTGGCTATTTTGATTGGTTCAATTTTCTTGCAGGCAAAGCGAGATCCTTATCGTTTTCGATTTCCCCTTGAAATGCGTTTTGTCTATCCTAACATAGACCATCTTATGTATGTGATTCCTTTACACTTTTGCTGCTAGTCTTGTCTTCTTAAAATTTGCAATACTTGATTCTCATGTCGTACCCAAAGTGAGTAGCTTCACATACTGGGTTGCCATGTGGCCTTGCGCTGTGAGCCACAGGGGTTTCTCCTGTTAGAAAAGAGTCTGTGGTAATAAAGCACTTCTATCTATTTCTACCAGCTAATAAGTAGTTAATGCTGTTTTAGAATTTATCTATATTTATTTGCTTACCCTATGGCTTTTTGACATTTTTCATACTCTTCCAGCTTCAACAGATTTGAGTTTCCACCAGTATTTCATCGTGATGAGGATACAAACCTAGATGAATTGCGGGTCTGTAAGCTTTCTTATAAAAAAACAAATGCTGTCCCCTTCTGTTTCTCCTATATTTTGCCCATGATAAGCCTTTTCCAATTTAGTTCTATTCATGGTTGCCTCCTTTGATGGCATGGGTAAAGTCTCCCAGGTTTACCATGGCATAGCTTGGCGCATTGTGGAATATGGGTTCACATGATGAATTGCATATCATTCACATGCTTGGATGGGCAACCCATCCGTGGCAGTTTATATGGCAATTGCATATTTCATATGCTATTGTTAGTTTTATTAGATAATGTGACTGTAGGATCTTTGAGTTGTTCTCTGAATTGCTTAATATTGGACTCAACGTTATGGTCACTGAAGGGTATTTGAATACCGTTGGATCTCCTGTCTTAACCAGCTGAGTCAGTTAAAACATGGGGAAATGTAGTTTTGGAAGGTGGTTTTTTGTTACAGTAGGAGCTGGACAATCTAGCCTCAACTTCTTATTTTGCTAGTAAATTCCTACATGTATTGTATTTTTTGGAACTTAATGGCTCTCTATTTGTCCTTCACGTGCACTTGCATTTGCAGCGTGACTGTGGAAGACCTCCTGTTCCTAGGAGAGATCCTGAAGATAAACCAGAAGAGGAACCTCTATTGTCAAATCACCCTTATGTAGATAAGGTGCCTTTCTGTGGCATTTTTCTCATTATTGTTTTTGTAGCCAGTTAATGATGGTCAATTAAGGTCCAATGCCATTGGTAATCCTGTCTATTTGAAGAACTGTGTGCTGATCCTCTTTCTTATGATGGGTGAACTTGGGTATTTTATGCAGTTGTGGCAAATCCATGTTGCTGAGCAAACAATTTTGGATGATTGGGAGGCTAATCCTGAGAAATATAAAGGCAAAAAGATATCCGAGTTGACTGATAATGAAGATTTTGATGAAGAAAATAGCATTGAATATACCGAAGCTTATCATAAGAAAACAGTACTGCCTAAAGTGATTATGGTGAGGAACATTCTTTGATAATGTGCACATCTTTAGTCTGTTGAACACAGCTGACATCTCTTGTACCCATTTACAGAAAACGAGTGTTAAAGAACTTGACTTGGAAGCTGCCTTAGCTGAGCGCGAGGTCAACGATTTTCTTGAGTTGTTTACTATCTATATTAAAAAATTTATTGACTGTTTTACTATAGTTGGCTTCTCAATTATGATTTAACCAACGTTTATATTTCATTTGTAGATAGAACTATCTTCTATGTTCATCTGTTCACTGTCCGTTTTGTCACCAACCAGGTCCCATATGGTTTGCCTCTGTTTTGAAGTTCAAATTTAAAGCCAGCCATGTAATGTTTTATTGTCTCAATCCTTGGCTTGGAGAACACGGAATGAGTCTCTTGCTCCTGGTGCTTTGCTTGCTATTTGCTAGTTAGATAATGCGCAGCCAAGTTTCCATTTTGTTCACGCATATGCCATATTCATTCAGGATGACAAATCCTCAAAATAGTTTTAATGGCTTGGCTTTTCAGTCATAACTAGAAATCTATTTTATATATTGCTGCAACTTGAACTTCCACTGCAACGTAATCAAAGCTCCTCATAAATATGTCAAACTAGCTTTCTAATTATACTTAGTTTTTTCAATGTTTTCTGGATGCAGTTTCATAATAAACTGAGAATGGAAGCGAAGGAAAGGGGAGAGAAATATAAAATCACCAAGCTGCGACGAAATATAGAAATGGATGAGTATGACTTGTTGCACTGGCGTCGATCATTTGAGGAAAGAGAAGCTTTGATCAGAGACATCAGCTGGTGACTCATCTGTTCTATTCTCCCTCCCTCTCTCTCTCTTTGTGTGTGTGTGTGTGTGTGTTTGTTGGAAATATTTTATCATATTAGATTTTACATATCTATGTTAG